CATATGTCGGAGGTCACGGAAGCAAAACTTGTGGTGGTGTTAGTCTACCTTAACAGCAAGGCCTTTTTGTATCCTATATGCGCATACGCATGAGAAAAAAAACTCGACGGAATTAAGCACACAGTTCATAATCATCTTGTCCATAATATATTTTGCGTAACGGTATTAAATGATTGTACTTCATCGCGTGTCTTTGTTTTGATTACCTAGTGCATGACACAGTTTGCCACCATGTAATCGTGTAGGCGGCGCGTAATAGTGACATTGGTAGTAAGGATGCCGGGCATTCGTACTTATATACACAGCAGCTATCTACTTTAGCATATTTCTCTTACTTTCCGCTATGCCTATATGCGAGCGCGACGACAGAAAGCTCGCGGCGACGGTGCAACTACGAAGACGAGCAGTTGCCCACCGTTGTCAACTCTTATTATAAGAGAAAGAATATTAATCTCTATACCTTCGCTAATCCTCTCGAACTAGCGGACGCGTCACTGAATGTTCACTCTCGCTTATCATCTACTCTGGCAAAGGAATGAATATCGAAGCTAAAGTAGAATGCAAGCGCGTACTGCAAGCAGGAGCCACCGCTATCGAGGCGCTCCCCGCGACCGGCGGATGCAAAAAAATGGCGGTTGCGCTAGCAGACGACGTGGTTGTCCTCACCCTAGGAGGGCGCTCGCATCGAGGCACCCTTAAAACATATCACCGCGTCATCTGTCGCGCAACCCAATGCCACGGCTGCATTCGAAGCGGCTGTACGGCTCGGTTTTCGGCTATGTTCGCATTGTTTAAGGGGTAATAAAAACTTGGAAACGAGATTCGTGAAGCACTTGTTGTTCTGGACACCCAGCTCATTTCAAAGGCATATGTGTCGTTCGCGACTACTTGATCGAGGCGCTCTCGCGTCGTCTGCTAGGCTGATACCAGATAGCTCATGCCAGTAATCTGCGCAAGATCATTTTGTCACGGTGGCGTTCGATTGACTGAGAAATGTTTTTCGGACTAACTGAAAGTCGATTTTTGAAAGAAACCTTCGCCAAGAGCTTATATTAAAAGCTTGAATGCCTAATGTTCCCCGATGCTTGCTACTCTGTAGTGGCATAGGACATTATGCGCAAGCCTATAGTTCATGCACTAAATAGCACAAAATGCCACTAGAGTGCTTGTAGGTCTATAGGTCATCATCAACTCCCTTCACAAAGCCTTACATGTGTTGCCACTGAGAAAAGGCAAGTGTTAGAAAATGGGGAACTATGGAAGGCGATTTCACCATTTCATAGCTTAAACAATGAAATCATTGTGAAATAAACAAGAACAGCTCCATATGCGGCACGATTTCTGCGATCATGGCCTACGTTTTGAACAGGTGCTGTTAAAGTCTGAGATGTAATGCTGACTCCAAACTTCAGCCAAAGTCACAGGCGTGGAAAATGGGGCCTGTGGTCAGTTGCTTGAGCTTGTTTGTGTATTTGTGCACGGGTTGTTGTAGCCTTCATATCCGGCTGTTCAGCTCTGTTTCTTTCGTCTTTTCTCTGGCCTCTTAATTCGGTAGCTGTCAGAGTAATGGCTGAATGACTGTGTGGTGCCCATGGGTTCCCCTTCAGCTCTCATTCACCGCGAGGCGCAGCGTTGCTACTGATACTCGTTTGTTGACTGTTCGGATGCAGCGCACTTCCCTTTAGTAATACCGATTACTATGTTGCAAAACGCGAAGTGTAGTCTTCAACACTACTTATAATGCACAAAATAGTTGGGTTGTATATAATGGTACACATTAGAGTGTAGAACGAAAATTTATTAGGATACCGATTGTTCTGCCTGATTACTACAAGCACACTCCCCCAAACACCAATGCAAGCTGAAACTACACGGAGCTACAGCCATGCAGTGCGCAAATGTGATATCTTCAAATATCTCAGCAAAAGCGAAAATCGATTGCTGGTGGCGTCCATCGCTTTCTCTGTGTCGGCGGCGTGAACACGAATGATGCAATCAACTAACATTAAATGAAAATGTCATCATATGAAGTCCCATATCACAAATCTTTGTGCCGTATGGGACAGTCACATCACTTGACGGCATCATATAACATTTTCGCTTATATGAAGTGAACCGATCATGCGGGCAGTGCATAACCAGCTGAGGGGCAAAAACCTAGCTTTGTACCTGATTTTCAAGGCAGTAAGAAAACCGTGTAGGGCGCAGAAATATCCCGGAAAGAATCAGAAAAAAAGAAGATAGTTTCTGCCTTTCAGTCTTCTTAGGTGAATCGAAAAGAGGACCAGCGATTTATTTCAACTAAAGGGAAATGAAAAAGGACAATGTGATTTCTTTCTGTCAGATATGCGGAGTGGTACATAGCAGTAATATTTACTGAGGCATGAAAAATATTAGGTGAAAATAGCTTGAAAGAGAAAATAAAACACGAATAGTTTAAATCTCGAATGCACTCATCGAACCGGTGGCATGGTCTGGCAGAGCCCGGTGAAAACATCGCGCCGCTACGTTCGTGTTACTTTTCATTCTCTCTGTTGAAAAATTAACCTAAATGAAGCAACTAGAACGTGCGATACCGGGAGGGCAGAAGAGAAAGCAGAGGACAGAGAGCTCGCAAGGGCCGGCAGAACAGATAGTTCGCCATAACCACAGAATAAAGTTGCGTTTTCGCCTACGGTTTGGTAACCAGTCATTTCGTAATATTTCGTGCCGCGAAACCCGGGACTGCCCCTTGAGAAACGCCTTCACGTCACGGCCATGGCAAACTCAGACCAGCTGCGGAGGAAGCGTGGTGCATTCAGGGCTGGTGTCACGCGAGCCCAAACCCAGCTTACGGATCTTCTGCAGTGAACGGATCCTGATATCTCGGAAGTCACGTGTACCTTGACTATCTCAAGGACAAGGAGCTTACATTGTCGAGACTGGACGACGCAATTCTTTCGCTAACAAGTGAAGATAATGTTGACCATGAAGTCAAAACGGCGCAGAATTATAGAGACAAGTTCAGCTACGCCATTGCGCGTACGAAGTACTGGTTTCAAGGTGTCAGCAAGCTACCTCGACGCGTGCTGAAGGTTCCGGATCAGGATCGAGCAACACATACCTCCCGAGTTCCGTCGATGCTCCGGACTATACGAAGAGTCGCGTCGCAGATCGGGTGTGCTGCCCAGGCTGCAGATACCTTCCTTTGATGGCAACCTGCGCGACTGGCAGGCCTTTTAGACTTATTACAACGCCACGATCCACCAGAACTCCGACCTACCATGCATCGGAAAGTTCAAGTATTTGCTTACGTACTTTACTGGTAGCGCTAAATGGTCAATCAAAGAAATACGGTTAGCCGAGCAGAATTACGGCTTCGCGATTAAAACGCTCACGCATCGGTTCGGAAAGCGAGATCTCCTTATCAATGAGCACGTGGGTCATCTTTTGGTGTTTACTCCTTTGAATAACTTATCAGAAGTTGCCAAACTTCGCACAGTTCACGACAATGTGCTATTCCGAGTGGGCACTTAAGAAGGCCTCGGCGTGTCCCCAGATCAATACGTCGTGGTACTGAATCGGGTCATGATGCGCTACTTGCCAGATTATCTGGCTATTATGTATCGCCAAAGGATGAAAGAGTATGACCGCGCCAATAGTGGGACGGAGGCTTCTGAATATCGATTGCGCCGAGCGAAGGACCTGTTGACATTTATTCGCATCCAAGTAGATGTCCAGGCTCACCTGAAATTATGTAGTTGCTCTTACGAAGGTGAAGACAGGATAGCGACAGAAAGCCCACACGGCACAGAATTCTTTTCATCGACTGCAGCTCATACGGGTTCCACCGCATCGGTCAATCAAGTCTGCCAACTTTGCAACAGCCAAGAGCACAACATTATGTCCTGCACTGCCAATCAGTCAGCGGACAAAAAGCGAGTGAGGCTACGGAATAACAACTGCTGTTTCCGCTACGGTACTCGCAACCACATCGCAAGGGTGTGCGAAAAAGCCATCATTCTTACCTGCAGCTCCTGCCGTCGTCACCACTTGACCATTCTGTGCGACCTGTGCAGACACGTTGTCCAAGGCCCAGTGCCTGCTACGGGATTCGTTGCATTGGGAAAAGCCCCTCGCCAAGATTTCGAACCATTACAACCGCCCAAAGCCCGCAAGTCGGATGCACGGCTTTACTATTGCAGAGGGGGTGCATATGGGCAAGGTCCAGAAATCAACGCCGCCTAGTTCGCGTTCGGTTGGACAGCGGTAGCCAGAGCAGCTATATTCGCGCAGACGCGGCCAGAATCATTCAGTGTTCTGTCATTGGAAGAGAAGAACTTTCAATAATGACATTTGGAAGCTCCAAGGCTCAGAAGTGACTCTGCGCCAACCATGTCTCCATGTGGCTGCGCAGCCGATTCAGCGATGCTGCAGTGCAGTTAGAAACCTTGATGATTCCAGAGATCTACACCATAACGAGTCCACCGCTAGATCACCATACCTTGCTGACGCTCCTAGTACAGGAGTACCATGTGGCTGACGCGTATAAATCTATTACGTGGCAAGAAGCCGACATTACCGTGCTGATAAAATCTAACGCCTATTATAAGGTGACCACTGGCAAGATTGACCGCATCAACGAGACGCTAACAGCAATTGAAACAACGTTTGTATGGATGGTACAAGGTCCCTTATCATCGGACATCCGGTACCCGTATAGCACACTGTTCACATCGAGCCACAATTCTTCTCCACCAGACATGGACGTATCTTCGATGTGGCGCCTTGATGCCATTGGAGTCGATTGCAGCTATTCAAAACCGTTGGAGATTGACGCACACCTCTCCGCATTTGAAGCGCTACATAACGAAGCAAGGTAGACGTTATCAGGTGCCGCTTATGGTGGAACAACCAGGACTACCAGCCTAAAATAGTCATGGCCGGTATTCAGAAAAGTCACTACAACGTCGAAACAACCGTTTCAGAGAGCAGCCAACGTCACTATAGAAAAATACGACATGGCTATTACCGCATATTTCCATGACGGACATGCTGAGAAGGTGCAAGAAGAGCAGCCAGTCGGAAATAAAGTATACTATATGCCTCATCACGCAGTAGTTCGTCGGGACGTCGTCACAACGAAGCTTCAAGTGGTGTTTGATGCGTCATCACATGAAGCTGATCGTCCCGGCCTCAACGATGTCCAATCAAAAGGCATCAAACTTCTTGTGAACGTTGCCCAGCTACTACTGAACTTTCGCTGCCACACTGTCGTTCTTGCAGCCGACATAAAGAAGGCGTACCTCCAGCTGTGGATTTGGCCCGAAGATCGCGACCTTCTCAGGTCTTTGTGGCTGGAACGACGGCCAACTAAGGAAGAGCCCATGCCACCGATTACAACTTGGAGGTTGACCAAAGTAACGTTTGAAGCTGCATCAAGCCCGTTTCTTTAGGCGGCTACAATTCATCACTTATCTTGTCAGCAGAACTATCCAGAAACCATAGCCTTATTGGAGCACATGCTCTACGTAGATGATCTTATCATCGGGCTGCCCAGCACGCAGGTGGCGTGAGCTCTACGTAGATGATCTTATCATCGGGCTGCCCAGCACGCAGGTGGCAATGAAGGTATGTGCAGAAACGAAACAAATATTCTACGAAACAAGCATAGAAACTTGCGAGTGGGCCTCATATATCGACGAGTTCTAAGAAATATTCTTACGTGACAGCTGTGCCATAGAAAAGGACGCAGGAGGCAATCTAATGATGAATGTTTTCGGCGTTCCCTGAAAACGTTCAGGTGATCACCTTATCCTGAGCATTGAGTACGCAGCTATGTTTACAACTTGAAAGCCGGCTACCAAACGTACAGCACTGAAAACCTTGGCCAGAGTATACGACCCACTGGGTTACTAACTCCATTCACCATAAAGGCTAAAGTGGTACTACAGAATCTATGAAAGAAAAATCCTACATGTGATGCCAGTATGCCTGAAGATGAACAGGCCGAATAAAATAGTTGGTGTTCTGAGCTGTCCGACTCGTCCGTCACTATTCCGCGATGTATATTCTTACGAGACAACAATAAACCCTTTTCTATTTGAGCTGCACTTCTTCGCAGATGCCAGTTCTAGAGCATACGGTGCTTGCATTTACGTACGAGTGAACACGCCACCCGAAACGTGCTTAACACGACTCTTGATCAGCAAGGGCCGACTTGCTTCATTGAAAATAGTATCGCCTCCACGCCTGGAGCTGCTGGCATGTACCTACGTGGTGCAGCTTATATGCTACGGGCAAAAGGTTCATTTTTTTCTAACACGCCATTTTTTCTTTTTGTACGGACACGCTTGTGGCGCTAAACTGGATAAAGAGTTCAGTGACCAAGTTGGAATATTTGTAGCACATCGTGTCACTGAAATCCAGCAGCCTACCAGACCTTCCCAATGTTTTCACAGTAGCAGCAAGGAAAATCCCGCCGATGTCATCACTCGAGGATTATCACTCTCGGATCTTACCAAATCATCCAAGTGTTGGCATGCCCCAACGTGGCTGTGTGACAAAACCAGGTCTTGCGAAGGTATAGACGACAATGAATCTAACGAAAAAATGCTGTTCGCTGAACCACAGCAAGCAAAGAATGATCAAATATTGTCCGCCTAAATTACATCCCTTTGTTCATCCGCCGTTCGCCACAGTGTCGTGCCCCTGGAAAACTACAGCTCTTTAGCAAGACTATTAAGAGTACCTGCGTGAATCCAGCGTTTCAGCCACCGCGAAATATGCTTCCCATCAGCGTCACGTCCTCTGACAGCGGAATTATTTCAAGTTGAGCACTATTCGTTGCATATAATGCAAGAAAACTCGTTCCCAGTCGAGGTCCAAGCGCAGCAGAAAAGCCTGCCCTTACCTTCAGTATCCCCTGAACTTCGTTTGTGCCCGTTTATGAATGAGGACGGCCTACCTCGCGTCGGTGATTGATTGATTGATATGTGGGGTTTAACTTCTCAAAACCACCATATGATTATGAGAGACGCCGTAGTGGAGGGCACCCGGAAATTTCCACTACCTGGGGTTTTTCAACGTGCGCCCAAATCTGAGCACACGGGCCTACAACATTTCCGCCTCCATCGGAAATGCAGCCGCCACAGCCGGGATTCAATCCCGCGACCTGCGGGTCAGCAGCCGAGTACCTTAGCCTCTAGACCACCGCGGCGGGGCACCTCACGTCGGTGGGTGACTGCAAGAGCTGCACGCTGAAGAGTACATTCATCATCCCATCTTACTGTCAAGCGACCATAAGTTCACTAGCTTTCTTGTTTCGGCAGCACATATGCATACGATCCACGGTGGTGATGAAGCAACTGTCACTGAGCTTTCAGAGCGTTTGTGGTTAGTGAGATGGCGTCAAACCATGAAGAGGGTCCTTTTTCAATGTAGAATGTGCAAACGCTGAAAAACTACAGTGGAGAAAGCACCCATGGCTCAACTTCCTCCTGATAAAATTACGGAAACCAGCCCCTTCATGGTCGTTGGGCTTGATTACTGCGGGCTGCTGTACGCGAAGTCGGCAAGTGGTCCAAGAAGGACTTACATACTTTTGTTTTCGTGCACCGTCACACGTGCCATTCACCTTAAGCAAATATCAGACATGATCAATGCCACAACTTTGCTCGCCTTTCGTCGTTTCGTCGCACGCTGCGGTGTACCCTCAATTGTGCACTCTGAAAATGCCTAGACGTTTCGGAATTGTGCTAAATGGTTTGTATCTGCGCTAACTGCTTTTCGCGAGTAAGTCGCGGCCAGCAGGATACAATGAAAGTTTATCGCAGAATGCGCTGCATGGTGAGGTGGATCATGGGAGCGCCTCATCGCAGTAGTCTTAACGTGGAAGGCCTCACAACGGTGCTGTGTGAGGTTGAAGCTTCTATCAACAGCAGACCGCTCACCTATCTTGGATGGGCTACAGCCAATAACTCCATCGCATTTATAGCTGGGTAAACGCATCACATCATTGCCACAACAGGTCTGCCCATCAGATCCTCACGTATCCGGTGATCTGCAACGAACGGCTTGTCATCGCCAGCGTCTAACAGCGGAACTTTAGAAGAGATGGAAACGAGCGTAACTTCTATTGCTGTGGTCGGCACACAATCGCTCGACATGCCCAACGACAAAGCTCCGAGTTGGTGATGTAGTGCTCTTGCGAGAAGACACAGCACCAGTGACGTTATATAAAGTTAGCAGAGTGCTTCAGCTATTGCCAGAGAGAGATAACATAGTGCGCGCTTGCTCCAACCGTCTCGCGAACGGTTCAGTTGTGAATAACTCTGTGCAAAAGACTTGTTTGCTCGAAGCCTCCGATTCGCCTGGGCCCGCCCCGGATGATGTTGAAAAACCAACCAGAATGGAGCAACTAAAACCTGTGGCACCGGGAGTAAAGAAGAGAAACCCAAGGACACAGAGCTCGCGAGGGACGGCAGGACAGATAGTTCGCCATGACCGCAGAATATAGTCACGTTTTTTCTTACGATTAGAAAGCCAGATGTTTTTCATACCCCCTGTACCCATAAAAACCGGCGATAAGCACTAATGCAAATTAACTCGCATGAAAACACGAATTCGCGATCTTTCTAATGAACGCGGCCGTCCAGATCCAGCTTCCCGTTAATTGGATGGATGGATGGATGGATGGATGGATGGATGAATGGATGGATGGATGGATGGATGGATGGATGGATGGATGGATGGACGGATGGATGGATGGATGGATGGATGGATGGATGGATGGATGGATGGATGGATGGATGGATGGATGGATGGATGGATGGATGGATCCCTATTTTTCTATAATGCTGCATTCCTGTTGCCGTTAGTCATTACGTATACTTCATGTTCCCTTAGGTACTCGGTCCCACTGTTTATCCTTACGCCCTGATATTTGTATTTATCTGTTATTTCTAGCGTGACCTCCTGTATCCTAAACTCACTGTGATCATTATCATTAAAATCATGACTGCTGATTTTTCCTTACTGAATTTGAAATCTAACCTATCTCCCTCATCACCGCAGATGTCCATCAATTCCTGCTAATGTTCCTTGTGGCCGGCCATTAGCACGTATATCATCTGCGTACATCAATGCTGGTAGTGCCTGTTCAATGCGTTTTCATTGTTCGAGAAAGGAGAGGTCAAAGCCAAGTCCGCTTCCCTCTAATTTGGCCTGTAATCCTTTCAGATACATAATGAATAACAAGGGACACTGAGGACACTGAGAACACCCCTGCCTAATCCCCCATTTTACCTCTGTGGGCTTGGATACCTGTTTTCCCACTTTATAACTACCTTTTTCCTATATAGATATCATTTGAAAGATTAATGGCTCCAACTTCCTCACCTAGTGTGTCCATTATTTCCCACAAGTCATCTTGAACCACGCTATCGTACGCTTCCTTAATATCCAAAAATGCTAGCCACCGGAGCCTGTGTTCCTTTTCTCTATTTCGATCACTGCGCCAGTGACAACAGATTGTCTTCCAACCCCCTGTGTTTCCAAAACCCAATCTGGAGTTCTCAAACTCAATCCATGCCTGCAGTCTTTCCTTTAAATTCATCAGCCTGTAGACCACTGATGTCACTGTTATAGGCTGATAATTGTTTATGTCAGCTTTGTCCCCCTTTCCTTTATAGATCATGCTCATCCTGCTAAGTTTCTATTCATCAGGGACTTCACCATCGATTATTATTTTGCTCACTGCCTCTCTTAAAGTCTGCTTACACTTCGGACCACATGTGTTTATCAGCATAACTGGAATGCCAGCTGGGCCTGTTGATGTACTTCTGGGAACCCTCTTCTCAGCCCTTTCCCCATCTCAGTTGTGAAAGTGGAGCCATTGCGCCACTTCATCCATCCTTGTCTATTGTGGTGCAAAAGGCACTTCTTTGCCGAAATTTGTCTGTTACTCTTCTTCTTATATATATTATATAGCTTTGTCCCCTTCTAGCCTAGCACATTGAGCTGTAGTTATAAACCTCTGCTCTTGGCTTGTCTCATTTCTTAGGGAGCTTATGGTTGTTCCGAAATTTCGCAGCTTTCTTTCTATCCTTTTTATGTATTTCTGCCAGCCACTGAGCCCCCTTTCTTCTAATCTTTTCATTGATCAGAATTGATGCTTAACTTCTACAGCTTAGAAAGATGATCCATTTTCTTTCAACATCATCTGTCAATTTACTCCGCTGCTCAGCATGTCTGTGTTGCCTAGAGTCTTCTTGACGTTTTGCTATGGCTCTCTTAACTTCCTCATCCCACCAACTCTTAGGTTTGTTTCTTTCCGGGGTGACTTGTCACGTGCCTTAGCAAGCTCTAGCTCAAACAGTCTAATTAGATTCGTGTCTGTCCACACTGTTTTTATTATCCTCATTGATTACTTTCTCAATTTGTTTAGTAGCTATTT